CTCCATTATTCTGCTCCAAATACACCAAAAACATGAATTTATTTGGATTTTGTCATTCTATGCACCAATCCTTCAAAGGAAACACGATCCACAAACGTGAATGGCTCAGGCTGTAGCTTTGTCAGTGGCAAGTAACAGGCCATTCAGGTGTTAAGGCACTTGGTTATATTCGGTTCTTTGCTCAGGTAGGCTCCCAAATGAAAGGAATGACTCCTGCTACAATTAAACCCTTGGGCCATTTCAATCTGGACACTAATAGGCCGTTGCTTGTATCACAGAAGAGTGCATTCTCTAAGCTGCACTCCTGTTAAATCCTGTTTATTGGTTGCAAAGGATTCTGGAAGGATGGGACCAAAGCAGAGATATGGCAAGAGGAAGGAAAGAGGACGGACTGACATATCCTTCCAGAACGAATCAGTTTGGAGCCAATGGGAGCCCACTTTGATTTCCAAGGACGTGGATATATATTGGCAGCCCCTTGATTTGGTTGCTCCCTAGCGCACTATCTGCCCAGAGATGTTGGTGCATGGTCCATCATCCACTGATGTAAAAGCGAACCACACACAGAATCGCAGGTCTCTCCAGCTTTAGATTTGATGCGGTAGCAATACAAAAATAATAAAATAAATTTGTCAATCAAATGCCACAAAACTATTAGCAAATGTCCCAGAAAATGGACCAAGTTGTCTCATTCCACCAAAGTGGAGAGAGAGATACCAAATTGAAGAAACCTGATTTGTATACATTGATGTGAGGGTTTTTGGTAGTGGACAATAAATCGACAATCTGATGAGGATAACAGAAGGGAAGGGAGGAAGTCTGAGTCAATGATAAATTCCCTTTCCCTTTGTTTGTCTCTGGTTCTCTATTTTATAAACTATCTATCTATCCCCTGCCACGCATTGCTGTGGCCCAGTCTTGCGATCAGGAAAATAAAGTAACGAGAAAGTGTTGGTTTCTACTATATGTAATTATTATGCTTGTGGGTAAACAGTATTTGATTACATTTTCTTGCCCTGTTGAAGGGAGTTGGACTGGATGGCCTTAAGTATTTTCTGTTCGTCTTGGAAGTTCTGTGTGGTAATTTTGCCCCAATGCAGTAGTTGGCGGAGTTCAGAATGCTCTTTGATTGTAGGTGAACTATAAATCCCAGCAATTACTAATCCCAAATGTCAAGGTCTATTTCCCCCAAACTTCATCTGTGTTTATATTTGGGCATATGGAGCATTCATGCCAAGTTTGGTCCAGGTCCATCATTATTTGAGTCCACAGTGCTCTCTAGATGTAGGTGAACTACAACTCCAAAACTCAAGCTCAATGCCCACCAAACCCTTTTAATGTTTTCTGTTGGTCATGAGAGTTCTGTGTGCCAAGTTTGGTTCAATTCCATAGTTGATGGAGTTCAGAATGCTCTTTGATTATAGGTGAACTATAAATCCCAGCAATTACAACTCCCAAATGACAAAATCATAATTTTTGAATGATGATCACTCCTTGTGTAGTGAGACATTTTGTTGCCAAATTTGGTGTGATTTCGTTCATTGGTTCTTTTGTTTTTAAGGTACTCATTATGCACATAACATTTATATATATATAGATCTATCTATATATTGGCGTTTCTCAACCTGCGGGTCAGGACCCCTGGGGGGGGGGTCATGAAGGGGTTTCAGAGGGAGAGGGGTCACCAAAGACCATCAGAAAACATATTTCTGATGGTCTTAGGAACCCGTGTGGCAGAGAAGTCTGAAGATCTCTCCTTCTCTTCCATTTTGGAAACAGATGGCAAATCCTCCCACCAAAAGCCCTCCTCCGCTGTGAATGGCTGGTCTCTCAGCCAAGAGGAGGGCTGATTCTGAGACTCCAAGCAGGGAGGGGAGAGCAGGCATGCTCAGCGCATGGCAGGAGAGGGAGAGCATGCGAGGCTGGAAGGAGGCTCGCCCCAGAGAGTCCCTTAAAAGCATGAGGGTTCTGTGTGGGAAGTTTGGCCCAATTCTATCACTGGTGGGGTTCAGAATGCTCTTTGATTGTAGGTGAACTATGAATCCCAGCAACTACAACTCCCAAATGTCAAGGTCTATTCCCCCACAAATGCCACTGGTGTTCACATTTGTACATATTGAGTATTTATGCCAAGTTTGGTCCAGATCCATCATGGTTTGCTCTCTGGATGTAGGTCAACTACAACTCCAAAACTCAAGGTCAATGCCCTCCAAATCTTTCAAGTATTTTCGGTTGGCCATGGGAGTTCTTTGTGCCAAGTTTGGCTCAATTCCACGTTTGATGGAGTTCAGAATGCTCTTGGATTGTAAGTTACCTATGAATCCCAGCTACAACTCCCAAATGACAAAATCAATCCCTATTCAAATTTGGGCATATTGGTATTTGTGCCAAATTTGGTTCAGTGAATGAAAAGGCATCCTGCATATCAGATATTTACATTACGATTCATAACAGGAGCAAAAGTACAGTGATGAAGTAGCCACCAAAATAATGTTATGGTTGGGGGTCACCACAACATGAGGAACTGTATTAAGGGGTCACAGCTTAAGGAAGGTTGAGAAACACTGAGATAGATAGATAGATAGATAGATAGATAGATAGATAGATAGATAGATAGATTCTTGTAGGAGTTGAATGCTTTTGTCTGTAGAAAATGCCAGATTGCAGCGATACAGACAATACTTAGGTGGTGCTTAATATCTTAATCCCAGTTAGAAAGCTCTATCTCCAAAAAGTAGGGAACAAATATTATATATATTTGGTCAGATTCAGAAGGAGAAGAATTTTTTGAAGGCAGCAACAAAATAAATAGCAGAAAGGTCATATAAATAAAGAGCCGCTCGCAAAGGGCAAATGAAACAATATACACCTCTGGATTAAATTTCTTTGTTAGCAACTTCATAACGGAACATTAGCTTTCCTTATATCACTATATAATATATATATATATATATATTTACTGGCCAGGAGGAGACTGAGGGCAGAAAACCCTTGATAAGCTTGGAGGAAAGAAAACATTATCCAGGAGAAACATATTTCAAGGAGTCAATGAATTAAACTAGGAGTTTCCAACTCATCTGATTTCTCGTCTGTGTGCTAAAGAATTGCTTAGGTATGTTGTGAATGGCCGCTGAGCTGATTAAGTGACCCCACAGATGACAGACCTCCCTATAGCAAAGGCTAGATACCTATCTATCGTATAGCCACCTTGAGCCCCAATATTGAGTCCCAATATTGGGAGACAGGTAGGATAAAAGTAAAGTAAGCAAGGAAGGAAATATCTGCCCACCGCTGGAATTGCGGACTCAAAACAGCCGTGGCTTTCTTGTTGGAACCTATCCGCCTGCAATGCGCTTTCCATCTTTTCCTGTTGCCTTATCAAAGAGTCTTTCTTAATTACCGATGCAATTACTGCCTTTAAGATGGACCTTAAATTGTGCACAATCCCCATACGGCCAAATTTCCTTACGTGACCCTTCCCCAAACCAGATCACATTTGGACGCTGGATGAAACAAGCAGGCCATAGCTTGGCACAAGGTGCCCGAAGACAGCTTTTGGATAACTGCTGACCTTCACTCATGGAAGAAGGACCTTAAATTGTGCACAATCCCCATCCGGTCAAATTTCCTTACGTGACCCTTCCCCAAACTGGATCACATTTGGACGCTGGATGAAAGAAGCAGGCCAAGGCTTGGCACAAGGTGCCTCAAGACAGCTTTTGGATAACTGCTGACCTTCACTCATGGAAGAAGTACCATCTGGCAACTTCAACATCCTTTGGATTATCACGGGTGGAAAAGGCCTGGTCTTTTGGTCTTTCCCCCTCTTCCTTCCTCCAAAAGGCCTCTACATGCAAAACTCCATCACTTGCAAACAGAAGAACTCTATGCATAAATCATTTCCAATATCTCCTTAGAAATCTGGAGAGGGAAGGAAAATGTCACGGAGAAGGCAAATGAAATTTATTTTGGGGGGAAACGTCCTCCTCCTGAGCCCCTCCCCAGCTTGTGCTCCATCCTTCTCTCCAAATCTTCCAGCTATATCTCCAGCGGATCCACCTTTCTGTTCCAGTTTGCAATGGCTACCTCTTTCCACACAGATCCTTTAATTCCAGCTGACAAAATTACTCTGTAGTTTTCACCCCAAAGTTTTACCAATACCCTCCAACTGTCCTCTGCCATCCTACTTTCTCAGCTGCTTTGAAAAGGTCCCGGTTTCTTTCTCTCTTCCTTCCCCCTCTCCCTTTGTGCACAGCTTTCTCTTATTGCTGCAAACCAAATTCAATGTGCAAAAAAAAAAAAGATTTTGTACTCAGAAGAAGGATTGCGTCCTTCCAAGTCGACACAGGCAAAAGTGTTTTCCTCTCGCTTGGGTGTTCCTTCTCATTACTAACACTTTCCATCTCAAACACACTCTAATGTTGTTTGACTCGAGTGTGTGACATGGACCAAATGGGATGTCAAATGGGATGGCTCAAAGGATGCTTGGGAGTCCTGAATTCATAGTGCAGCCCAAGGTCTTGCCAAGGGAAGGAATGGTGCTCTTGAAGTTCAGGAAGCATCAGAAGAAGAGAGCCCTTCTGGAAATGAAGCGGGCCACGTGGCGCTCTACCTGGCCAGGGAAATGGCAGGGCTTTCTCTCTCCTGTGGCTTGTTGTGGGAGGAAAAGGCACTTTCTCTGGGATGCCACATGGAGTGCCCCCACATGGCCACTCTTTGGAAGGCCCGGCAATTGAGCATGGGCAGAAAACCCTCCGAGGCGGCTTGGAGGAGGCTCCTGCTCTACAGCAAAATGATTGGTCTGGAAGCTCTGCTGGAGGACTGGCCACCCTACTTCTCTCTAAGCCAGTGGTACTCAACCAGTTTACCAGCTGTTAGGATTTTGGGGAGTTGAAGGCCAAAACATCTGGGGGCCCACAGGTTGAGAATCACTGCTCTAAGCAATGAGAAAGGCCTACCAACAAGGGCAGGAGGACAACCAAGAAGCTCTCCAATGCAAAGTAAAGTTGAACAAATGCTGGAGTTGTAGAAGAAGCAGGCCTTCAAGGGGCTCAAGAAGAAGCAATGGGTCACCTGGGGAAGGATGGACACTTTCTGCATCTGATCCCCATTGTCCTGCCTCATCTAGGAGTAAGAACTGGCCAGAAGGAACAAGACTGGGCTCATCTGGTCAGGCCATTCTCTCTACAAACCCTTGTTCAGAAGGCCGGTGCACAGTGCTGGTATCTGCCCAACCTTCTGAGAGGATGCTGAAAGCCGTCAGAAGTAAGGTTTACTAAAGGAAGGTTGTGGGATGCAGTGTCTCCTTCTCACCTCTCATAATATACTGAGAGGTGAAAAATCTGGGAGGAAAATCAGCCTTCCTGGAATAAAATAATCTTCTGAATCCCAAATCTCGCTTTGGCTTTATACACCTTACATGAAATGTTCTACTTGCGAGAGGACTTCATAGGAGGGGTTTACGTACAGCCCCTCCTCAGAGATATCCCCAAATGTTTTGCAGGGATGTGCTAACTGATGGAAATTCTGGGCTGAAATGGATGTGTTGCAGGTTATCAAAAGCAAACTCATCTCAGAAAGAAAAACCAGAAGTCCAAGAAGACACTATAATGCAGACTAACACAGAGGAGAAATATCTCGAAGAGGAACAAATTAAGATACTTTTCACAGCTGAGAGGAAGCATTTCAGGAAAAATGTTCTTTCATCCCACTTCCCTCGCAACTTTTCTTATGCATTTGTCTTGCTTGGGAGGCCATAGATAGCTGAAGAGATGGCTCAAGAGTGGGAAGTCTACTTTCCCAGGTGTTTTGGGGGTTCCCTCACTTGACAGCCTTGGGAAAGGATATTCACTTGTCATTAACTCTCCCAATTGAAAAGATGTTGGGGTCCTTGCAGAGAATAATCCTAAAGCATCGATTCCCTAACTCTGGTCCTTCAGTTGATGTTTTCAACTCTTGGAAGCCTTAGCTGATTTGGCCAACCATCAGATGTTCCAGCAGCTGAAGCCCAACACTCTTGGAGGACCAAAGTTTGGAAAGCATTGTCCTAAAGCAATGGTTCTCAACCTGTGGGTCCCCAAGTGTTTTGCTCTACAACTCCCAGAAATCCCACTCAAGTTTGCCAGCTGTTTGGATTTCTGAGAGTTGAAGGCCAAAACATCTGGTGACCCACAGGTTGAGGACCACTGCCCTAAAGAAATGAACATCACCAGGGAAAGGAACCTGTCTCCATGTATTGTCAAAAGTTTTCAGGGAATCACTGGGTTGTTGTTGGTTTTTCGGGCTGTATGGCCATGCTCTAGAACAGTAGCTCTCAACCTGTGGGTCCTCAGGTGTTTTAGCCTACAACTCCCAGAAATCCCAGCCAGTATACCAGCTGTTAGGATTTCTGGGAGTTGAAGGCCAAAACAGCTGGGGACCCACAGGTTGAGAACCACTGCTCTAGTAGTATTCTCTCCTGACATTTCGCCTGCATCTGTGGCAAAGCATCCTCACAACGTCAGGAGAGAATGCTTCTAGAACATGGTCATACAGTCCGAAAAACCTTCTACAACCCAGAATCTGTCTCAATTCTAACCTTGTGGTTCAGAGCAAAGCAGGAATCTTGCCATAGCTTGGCATCAATCTGGGTGAGAATATCTCCTGCGGATGATTTAATCACTCCTTGCATGGTAAACTGTAAAGTGCAAGCAGATCTGCAGGAATCAGGAGGCCAAACGAGGAGGCTAGGGTCTCTTCTGGCCTCCTCCACCCACCCAATTTGTGCAACTAGGCCCAGCTTTGACCAACCATTCTGAATGAGGCTACAGACAATAAAGAAGTGGCTCCCGTGGCTCCGTATGTTAACGATATGTCACCTTGGCAAGGCAAGCAAGGAAAGGGGGGCCCAGAGACTTTCCACCAACCACGTTCAGCCAATTCTGAAAGCTTAAGTAGACGCTGCTGGAGCCTATTAGTATATTTGTCCATTTGTGTGGGTTTCAAGAGAGAAAGAGGGGGAAAGAGGGGGCAAGGGGCATGGATTGGCCCCTTCTGGCAGTGAATGTGCTGGAACAAGAGAGGGAAACGGTTAACGGGGGCCGTGAGGGAGCAGCGCTTGTGTCTGCTGCATTTTGTTGGGCCCTCGGAGACAGCCTGGCACACCGGTGATGGAGATGTGGCCGCTCCAAGTCCAACCTGGAATGCCCCATTGGGAACCCGATGTCCCCCACCACCACCACTACCACCTCTTCCGGAGGGTCTCCGCTAGCAGGGCTTGGCCCAAGGAGGCTCCTTCATTTTCCTTGGGAAGGCAACGGCATGCAACCCTGACCCGACAGGATCCGGCTTCCATCTTAAAAGCCAACCCCATTCACCACCCCCTTGCCTTTGCCCCCCAACCCTGGAATCTAGCAGCCTCTCCCCAGGAAAGCGGATGGGAAATTGAGTCAGGAATGAGGGAGAGGGGGCTCACGGCTTCCTCCCCCTCCCCAACCCTCCGACCCCCTCAACTTGACAGTTCACCTGAAGTCTCCCAGGCTGGTCACTGATTCAATTTCTCCTTGTGAGGAATGCTAGTCCTGCCACAGAGAGGAATGTCCCACTGGATGTCCTGGCCAGAAGACGTCTTTCTGAACGAGAGCACCACAGTTTCCTCCTCTGCGATGTCAGGCGGTACCGAGGCGAGGAGGAGGAGGCGGAGGCAGGCAAGGCCAAGCCATGGCAGCGTTTGCTCTGCCCCAGTGCCCACCCGACGAGGACGTTTCCCTTTGCTGCGTCAAAAACAGTTCTCACTGACTCACTGGCTGGGGGGGTGGAGGGGGAGGCGGGGCTTGGAGAGAAGGGGTCCCGTTCCGCCCTGGTTCCGTCCGCACCGGTGCTATAGGACCCCCTCCATGAAGCTCGTGTCCAGGTGCTGGATCAGCACCCGGATGAAGGACATTTCCTTGCGGGTGTTCTCAAAAATGATCCGTGGGTCGTCCGACTGGCAGCGGAGGCAGTTGGGGGCCATCACCATGGCCAGGTTGTTGACGTCCATCTTGGTGACCGCCACGTTGCCGGGCTGCACAAACACCTGCGGAGAGAGGAGACACAATTGGACCGCTGAGATGCCGTAATTCACCTCAATTCACCATAATTCTGTTCATCACGGGGCTTGGACTGCGAGAACTGGTTTAAAAGATGGTGGGGTTTGCATTGCAAGAAGTGAATTTAAAAAAGTGTGGGACTCATAGAAAAAAATAGGTATGCGCTCAATTTCTCTACATTTATTGTGTTTCTCTTTTGTTGTTGTTGCTATTTTGATTCTTTTTATGTACTGCAATACTAGAGCTTTTTTTAGAGCTTCACATAATGATCACGGCCTGCATTTTGGCAAAAAAAAATTGACACAGAATTTGCAGTGATTATGTGGTGAAATTGTTATATGTCAGCTTATTCAACCTGTGATTGTCTCTGATGTTCACAATGAGAATGGGGATGATGTTCCTAATGGTGGGTTGGGGGTGAGAGTTTGCTTGGGCCTGAGTTAAGCTCAAATGAGAGGCCTGAGCTGTTTCCGGAAGATTCAAAAGCCACATTCTTGGGAGAGGCCCTTCACAGCTTTTCTCAGAACTGTCTGAAGATGATTTCTCAGGTGCAGAAAATAACGAGAGCTCAGAGAGAGCTGATAATGAGAGCTTAGACAGAAAGCAAAGTTTCTGTAAAGAGACATTTAATCAACTACCAAGCTTGCAAACTTTGTGTTTTGTTTGTTTGTTTGTTAAAAAATGCAATACAACTGTTTGGTTTGCTCCTGACACAATAAATAAATAAATAACCTTGTTACATTACACCTGGTATGTATTATGTTGTTTGCTATGTAATGTGATGTTATTCATCTGTAGTTGTCAGAGCCCAAGAACATCCTTTGGGCCCCACGTCTGGAGCCGCCCTTGGGTCTGTTTCCTACCTGGAGGAAACGGATGAGGTAGCAGAGCACCATCTTGTTGATCCTGGGCAGGGAGTGGACGACGGCGATCGCGGCTTCGGGGTTCTCGTAGTGAGTGATGCACTGTTCGTAGAAGTCGTGGGGGATCAGGGGCTCCTCTAGTTCTCGGTACCAGAGCTTCAGGAGGGAGGCTGCGAGGTGGAGAGGGGAGATGGGAGAGAAAAGAGGGTGCTGAGGTTTCTCTCATGTCCCCGCACGGAAAGCTAGAGCTGACAGATAGGAGCCCACCCACCAATCTTTTGGTCAGGAGTTCTGCCAGCACAAAGGTATAACCCATTGTGCCAGTGGGGGCTCCTATTCCACAGGATACAGCATTGACAGTTAATGTGGAATCATAACACTATAATTGTGGTAAGACAGTTAAGAGGAAGGAGGCAAAGGCAAAGTACCTCTGCCATGAAAACCCCATGATAGATGACCCTGAGGGTCACCATAAGTACAAAATGACTTGAAGGCACACCACTACAAATCCCAAGGAGCAGCAAGATCTCCTGCCATGGCTTCCACTTCACCAAATCAGCTCCCGAAATGCCGTCCGGACAAAAGCAAAGAGGGTGCCTCTCTCCGCTCAGCCTCAGGCTCCCCTTGTCCCACTCTATGAAGACATGAAGAGTGGCCATCCTCACCAGGGACATGAGGGTCTTCCAAGCCGGTGGGGATCTTCCACTGGTCGACCTGCAGCTTGAGGGCGTTGACCTCGTCAATGTCTCCAGGGACCCTGGGAGGAAACAAAGACAGGACTGGCGAGGGCTGGCAAGCATTGAAGCCCAACACAACCAAAGGGGAAGAGAGTTGTACTAATACCAGTTGTACAACAAGGCCAATGTCTTCCCTTTGATGTAGGAAGAGCAGCTGAGCCTTTTTTGTGCGGCATCTATTTTTCCCCATGCATCTCTGAGATGCTCCTGCATATGGGCTAAATTGGCCGTAAAAGACATTTCGATGCAACCATGAAATTACATTCAGATTCCCCTTTTGGAGGTTGTGATACAATCTACGAGAGGGCACACATGGTAAAGGAGAGGAAAGTGTGTGAAGCGAACTGTACGCACAGCCCATTCTGAAAGCAATTTAAGTTAAACAATGAGGCTGGCAGAACACAAAATAGAGCTGGAAGGGGTCCCATGGGCCATCGGGTCCGATCCTCTATTCAACACAAAATATCCAGCAGGAACATATAATATAATATAATATAATATAATATAATATAATATATTGTATACACATATAATATTTATAATATTATAATGTAATACAATATAATAATACTAATAGTAATATGATATTATAATTATATATTTTATATTACATGTAATATTACTAATAATATTACAATAGAATGGTATAGTGCAATATAACAATATATAATACTGATATCGTACTATGCTAATATTACAATATATTGTATGTATATATATCTTGTAAGCCGCTCTGAGTCCCCTTTGGGTGAGAAGGGCGGCATATAAATGTCGCAAATAAATAAATAAATAAATAAACATCCCCAGCAGGTGCAGACTCTTTTGGAGCTCCCATCACCTCTCTAGGCAATTGGTTCCACTGCTAAACTACTCTGAAGGCCATTCAACACAGCCCTACAACCCAGAATATCAAGGCAGACAATCCCACAATATTTCTTTATTTATTTACAGTATTTATATTCCGCTCTTCTAACCCCGCAGGGGACTCAGGGCGGATTACAATGCACATATACATGGCAAAAATTCAATGCCATAGACATACAACATATATAGACAAACACAGAGGCAATTAAACATTCCAGCTTTTCGGCTTCATGAGGGTATGCTCAATTCTGGCCACAGGGGGAGCTGCCACTTCACCGTTCACTTGTGACACTGAGTCCTTGATGGAGTACTTCCTCATTCTTATGCATGCTGGAATTGTTTCATTTTGTTGTTGTTGTTAATTCGTTCAGTCGTCTCCGACTCTTCGTGACCTCATGGACCAGCCCACGCCAGAGCTCCCTGTCGGCCGTCACCACCCCCAGCCCCCTCAAGGTCAGTCCAGTCACTTCAAGGATGCCATCCATCCATCTTGCCCTTGGTCGGCCCCTCTTTCTTTTGCCTTCCACTTTCCCTGCATCATTGTCTTCTCCAGGCTTTGCTGTCTCCTCATGATGTGGCCAAAGTACTTCAACTTTGTCTCTAGTCTCCTTCCCTCCAGTGAGCAGTCGGGCTTTATTTCCTGCAGGATGGAGTGGTTGGATCTTCTCGCAGTCCAAGGCACTCTCAGAACTTTCCTCCAACACCACAGCTCAAAAGCATCGATCTTCCTTCGCTCAGCCTTCCCTAAGTCCAGCTCTCACATCCGTAGGTTACTACAGGGAATACCATGGCCTTGACTAGGCGGATCTTTGTTGCCAGTGTGATGTCTCTACTCTTTACTATTTTATCGAGACTGGACATTGCTCTCCTCCCAAGAAGTAAGCGTCTTCTGATTTCCTGGCTACAGTCTGCATCTGCAGTAATCTTTGCCCCTAGAAATACAAAGTCTGTCACGGCCTCCACATTTTCTCCCTCTATTTTCCAGTTGTCAATCATTCTTGTTGCCATAGTCTTGGTTTTTTTGACGTTTAGCTGCAACCCGGCTTTTGCGCTTTCTTCTTTCACCTTGATTAGAAGGCTCCTCAGCTCCTCCTCGCTTTCGGCCATCAGAGTGGTGTCATCTGCATATCTGAGGTTGTTAATGTTTCTTCCAGCAATTTTCACCCCAGCTTTGCATTCAGCCAGCCCCGCACATCGCATGATGTGTTCTGCATACAAGTTAAAAAGGTTGGGTGAGAGTATGCAGCCTTGCCGTACGCCTTTCCCAATCTCGAACCAGTCTGTTGTTCCGTGGTCAGTTCTGACTGTTGCTACTTGGTCCTTGTACAGATTCCTCAGGAGAGAGACAAGGTGGCTTGGGATGCCCATCCCACCAAGAACTTGCCACAGTTTATTGTGATCCACACAGTCAAAGGCTTTAGAATAGTCAATGAAGCAGAAGTAGATGTTTTTCTGAAACTCCCTGCCTTTCTCCATTATCCAGCGGATATTGACAATTTGGTCTCTCGTTCCTCTACCTGGCATTGTAAATTAGTTAAATTAGCCAACCTGCATAAAATGGTACCTAAATTTCCTACTTTACAGATGCAACTGTCTTTTGGGCTGCATAGACTATTAATGGTTAGTACCTTACTCTGACCCAGGCTGGCTTTGAACTCATGACCTCACAGTCAGTAGTAATTTAATGCAGATGGCTATTAACTAGCGGCACCACAGCCCGGTCTGCTTTGAACTGTGTTATCTTAGTCCACACTGCCATATATTCCAGTGCAAAGCAGATAATGTGGAATTTTATTCAGCTGTGTGGAAGGGTCCTGACTGTCAAGAAGTTCTTTCTAAGGTTCGGTCAAAATCTATCTATTGGGTAGGACTGAAATATCAGCCCTTCGGTAGCTTCCAGGTGGGACACGGAGCTGGGATGGGACCTGAAACTGAACAGAAAGGAAAACAGACAACAAACAATCACTTTGGTCAAGGAATCAACAAAGCCCAGCACCACTTACAATGCTGGTTGAGACAATTCTTTGTAAGCATTATAGAACTTCAGAGTTACTTAGATCAGTGGTTCTTAACATGTTTTGGCCTACAACTCCCAGAAATCCCAGCGAGTTTACCATCTTGAAGACCAAAACATCTGGGGGCTCACAGGTTAAGATCCACTGACGTAGACAAAGGCAAGACCTTAGTTGTGTAGCTAAGAAAGGCCTCCTTGTAGCATAACACTGAATTATCAACCCCACTGAGCAGGAAGGCAAACAGGCAATAAACAATAATTTTAGCCAAGGGATCTACCAAGTGCCAGGGCTGCTTTCAGTCCAAACTACTGACAGCTCTAGTCAAGATCGATAAAGTATATTCCAAGAATCAGTATTTTATAGAACATCAGAGCTACAAAGTAAAAGACAAAGAGTGCATGTCCAATGCATACATGGTAATCCTGGGGGACAATGCCTGGCTCGAGAGCAGTACGTGTGAAAAAGATCTTGGAGTCCTCGTGGACAACAAGTTAAACATGAGCCAACAATGTGATGTGGCGGCAAAAAAGCCAATGGGATTTTGGCCTGCATCAATAGGAGCCTAGTGTCTAGATCTAGGGAAGTCATGCTCCCCATGCTCTATTCCGCTTTGGTTAGACCACACCTGGAATATTGGGTCCAATTCTGGGCACCACAATTCAAGAGAGATATTGACAAGCTGGAATGTGTCCAGAGGAGGGCGACTAAAATGATCAAGGGCCTGGAGAACAAGCCCTATGAGGAGCGGCTTAAAGAGCTGGGCATGTTTAGCCTGAAGAAGAGAAGGCTGAGAGGAGACATAGCCATGTATAAATATGTGAGAGGAAGTCATAGGGAGAGGGGAGCAAGCTTGTTTTCTGCTGCCCTAGGACGCGGAACAATGGCTTCAAACTACAAGAGAGGAGATTCCATCTGAACATGAGGCAGAACTTCCTGACTGTGAGAGCCGTTCAGCAGTGGAACTCTCTGTGTGGTGGAGGCTCCTTCTTTGGAAGCTTTTAAACAGAGGCTGGATGGCCATCTGTCAGGGGTGATTTGAATGCAATATTCCTGCTTCTTGGCAGAATGGAGTTGGACTGGATGGCCCATGAGGTCTCTTCCAACTCTTTGATTCTATGATTCTATGATTCCTTCCGCGAGGTCTATGTGGCCAACACAGAATGTTTCCAAAGCTTGTTTGTTGTTTAAGAGGATGTTCTCAGGATCTGACACAACTTCTGGTTGTTGGCCCCGAGCACGTAATATTTCAATTACGACATTTCTAGCATAACACAAATTATAGAACTTGGCACATACTCCCTTTAATCTTTTGGTAAATGGCTGCATGACTTTAATGTGTTGGAGAGCCACATAGTTTACCGTTTACCATCAAAGGAATGCCAAAAGGAGTATGGGATGAAGGTTTACAGCAAAACCTGACAGAGTCAATGGGATTTTGGCCTGCATAAATTTATTTATTTATTTACTATAGTTGTATACCACCCTTCTCGGCCTCCAGGCGACTCAAGGTGGTTTACAGAAGCAACAATTCAATGCCCAACAACACTATAAAAACATTTAAAAACATTAACATATAATATAAAACTATAACAAGGAGTATAGGAGTATAGTGTCAAGATACAGGGAAGCCATGCTCCCCATGCTCTATTCTGCCTTGGTTAGACCACACCTGGAATACTGTGCCCAGTTCTGCGCACCACAATTGAAGAGAGATATTGACAAGCTGGAATGTGTCCAGAGGAGGGCGACTAAAATGATCAAGGGTCTGGAGAACAAGCACTATGAGGAGCGGCTGAAAGACCTGGACATGTTTAGCCTGCAGAAGAGAACGCTGAGAGGAGACATGATAGCCATGTATAAATATGTGAGGGGAAGTCATAGGGAGGAGGGAGCAAGCTTGTTTTCTGCAATGGCTTCAAACTACAAGAAAGGAGATTCCACCTGAACATTAGGAAGAACTTCCTAATTGTGAGAGCTGTTCAGCAGTGGAACTTTCTACCCCAAACTGTGGTGGAGGCTCCTTCTATGGAGGCTTTGAAACAGAGGCTGAATGGCCATCTGTTGGGGGTGCTTTGAATGAATTTTCCTGCTTCTTGGCAGAATGGAGTTGGACTGGATGGCCCACAAGGTCTCTCCCAACTCTAGGATTCTATGATTCTATGAATAATACCAGCCTGGTTTTGTTTTGAGGGGGTCGGTAATGGTGGTCCTGGAATTCATCTGCTGGGAACAGCCCAGCCACCTTTTTTAGAAGAAAGGAGGCCCACAAGGGAGTGGAGGGAGGAGGATCACCTGAAGATGCCTTCGGTCTGGTCTCCGTTGAGGGCCAGGACCTCTTCCGACAGCCTCGTCTGGACCCAGGGAAGCTGGCGGTCAGGGTACCTGTCCTTCTGCATGTTCATGATCTCTTGCAGGGAGCTTCCAAACATGGAGGGGCTGAAGACGGCGTTCTTGGCATGGCGGATCTCTTCAATGTTTGGCTTCTTCAGACCCTGCAGGAGACACAAGTGGGGTAAGCACAGGATTAAATGGCTGACACAAGGCTTGGCGCCCATGGAGCAGCCCAACAGGTGGAAAACCCAGCAGCCACTGGCTCAGTATTCATTTTAGTGGGACTTTGACTTTCATGGGTTTCATGGGTTTCACTTTCACAGCTTTGAGTATTTGCAAGTTCGCCATCAATGACTAAATGGGGATTTTGTGGTCTACAGAGGAAATTAACATTAACATAAAACTGTAATTTTTAAGACTGCAATTTTTAAGATAAGACTGTCCAACTCTGATTAAACCATTATTCTAACCTTCTTCAATGTAAATATGCTTACATGTCCTCCAATAATAATAAATAGAGTAAAATAATAATAATAATCAAGTAAAATAATAAATGTAACAATAACAAATAGAGTAAAATAATAAATGTAATAATAATGGTAATAACAACAAAGTAAAATAATAAATAACATTGTATTGTCGAAGGCTTTCATGGCCGGAATCACTGGGTTGTTGTAGGTTTTTTCGGGCTATATGGCCATGTTCTAGAGGCATTCTCTCCTGACGTTTCGCCTGCATCGATGGTAAGCATCCTCAGAGGTAGTGAGGTCTGTTGGAAGTAGGAAAATGGGTTTATATATCTGTGGAATGACCAGGGTGGGACAAAGGACTCTTGTTTGCTGGAGCCAGGTGTGGATGTTTCAACTGACCACCTTGATTAGCATTTGATAGCCTGGCAGTGCCTGAAGCAATCTTTTGTTGAGATGTGATTAGATGTCCTTGTTTGTTTCCTCTCTGTTGTTGTGCTGACTACTTCAACCAGAGAAATCAGCCATAGCAGAGCACCTGATGAACCAACCTGGACACAACATATTATTTGAGAACACAGAAATGCTGGACCACTCCAACAACCACCAGGTCAGACTACACAGAGAAGCCACTGAAATCCACAAGCATGTGGACAATTTCAACACAAAGGAGGAAACCATGAAAATGAACAAAATCTGGCTACCAGTATTAAAAAAACTCAAAAATTAGAACAGCACAACAACAGAGAGGAAACAAACAAGGACATCTAATCACCTCTCAACAAAAGATTGCTCCAGGCACTGTCAGGCAATCAAATGCTAATCTAGGTGGTCAGTTGAAACATTCACACCTGGCTCCAACAAACAAGACTCCTTTGTCCCACCTTGGTCATTCCACAGATATATAAACCCTTTTTCCTAGTTCCAACAGACCTCACTACCTCTGAGGATGCTTGCCATAGATGCAGGCGAAACGTCAGGAGAGAATGCCTCTAGACCATGGCCATATAGGCCGAAAAAACCTACAACAACCCAATAAATAACACTGACTCGAGTATAAGCCAGGGGAAGACTTTCTCAGCCTAAAAAAAGGACTGAAAAACTAGGCTTATATTTGAGTATATAAATAAAATAACAGTTAAGGGGGGAGTCAAGATAATTGTGGTCTCCCACAAATGTGAAAGGCCAACTTGATTTCCATAGTGCTACTGGTGTATTTGGCTGTGCAAGATCATACATGCAAGATCATGCAGGGAGCTCTGGTGTGGGCTGGTCCATGAGGTCATGAAGAGTTGGAAGTGACTGAACGAATAAACAACAAAAGATCATACTATACCTTCATTTAAAAAGAAAAAAATAGAAAACATCCCAGCATCAGCTGAAAATAGAATATGTAATATATCTTAAGCCATGGCAATCTCACCACACTAAAACAGTGGATGTGGCCCTTAATGAGACATGCCGCATTATCACGGGGTGTCTGCGCCCTACACCACTGGAGAAATTACACTACTTAGCCGGTATTTCACCACCTGACATCCACTGGGAAGTAGCAGCCAATAGTGAAAGGACCAAGGCAGAGACATCTCCAGCCCATCCCCTGTTTGGATATCAGCCAGCACGTCAACGACTTAAATCTAGAAATAGTTTTCTAAGATCTACAGAGACATTTACTGGAACACCCCAGCAAGCGAGAGTCCAAAAGTGGCAGGCTCAAACCCAGCACCATGGGTGATATCAGATGAGAGACTCCCCCCTGGGCACACAGAAGACTGGGCGACTTGGAAGGCACTGAACAGACTGCGCTCTGGCACCACGAGATGCAGAGCCAACCTTCGGAAATGGGGCCACAAAGTGGAATCCTCAACATGTGAGTGTGGAGAGGAGCAAACCACTGACCACCTGCTGCAATGCAACCTGAGCCCTGCCACATGCACAATGGAGGACCTTCTTGCAGCAACACCAGAAGCACTCCAAGTGGCCAGATACTGGTCAAAGGACATCTAATCAACTACCAAACTCACAAATTTTGTATTCTGTATTTTGTATTTTTGTATTTTGTCTGTTTGTTTGCTTTGTTCTGTTAGAAATGTAATATAATTGACTGGTTGCTGGTGGCTCGATAAATAAAAGCCATGGCAATGAAGTCTGCGACCACACGGGGGAAGCATTACTCCAAAAGGAAGTCTATCAAATCGCAAGGCCTGCAGAAAGCAGGCGAGGTGGATGCCATGAAGACAAGTAAAAGGGGGAAGGATACATTGATGTGTCTTGAAGTGCATAAAACAACCCCATGGCTTCAAGGTAAGACGGTCATAGAGGCAATTGAGACGAAAGCTGTGCGCCTTAACAGAGAACACCTTACTTCTCTGGAGGCCATCTCCTGTTTACATTTTGTGCCGACGAACACACACTCAACACCTCTGAAGCCCACTTCAAAAGACTGTGCAAATGGTCGAGAATGGAAATACCTTCTTGGCTCCGGTCAAGGCCGCTTTCTGGAGCTTGCTGTAACAATACTTGGCATAAGTGCTGATTGCCACCCCTAAAAGAGAGAGAGAGAGAAAGGGGAGGGGGACAGAGAGACAAGTCAGTGCAAGGACAACAACCCAAGGGGCCACCCCAAGAGGAAGAGGGCAAGGAGAGAAAGCCCAGCAGCACCCCAAAGGGAAGCAACACGAGCGGCACTTCCAAAGCCAGGTTTGCAGAATCAGAGAAAATACCCCCATGGGTGGAGAAGGCCCTGGATGAAGGTTTGCTCCAGCAGCGAATCTGGCGAGGGTCACGTACTTGCAACATGCCACGGTGGTGTCCTATCACCAGGGGACAATTGGGGTCCCTCAAGCATCAACTGTGCCATCCATTACAGCTGCCCTCCACACTGTTGCAACAAACCAACTCAGAATCAAGGAATCCTAGAGATGAAAGACACCCAAGGCCATCCAACTCCTTTATGCCAGACAGGAACACAATCCAAGCCCTCCTGACAGATGCCCATCCAGTTTGTCCAAAAACCTCTAGAGAAGGAGACCCCACTGGACTCCCAGGCCATGTATTCTGCTGTCAAACGTGTCTTAGTAATAGGAAGTTCTTCCTAAAATGAAGGGATCTCCTTTGAATCCAATCCTCCATGTATAGTGTAGCAGAAAGCAAGCCAGATATCCATCTAGGTGTTGAAACATGGCTCTTATGTCCCTTATTCGTTTTCTCTTTCCCAGGCTAAACAGCCAGCTCCCCGAATCATCACAGGCATTTTAAGGTTTCCAAACTTTTGAGCATTTGGTCACCCTCTTCTGGACACCTTCCAACTTGTCAATATCCCTCTTGAACTGTGTTCCAAGTAAAGTCTGAGCAAAGCAAAACAGAATGGAACTTTGACTTCCCTGAATGGAGACATTATATTGCTACTGATGCAGACTAGGATTATTTTGAACCTGACACTATTTCCCAATCCAAGCCCTAGTCAGTTATACTCAACCCTTTTTTGAATTCACTCAGATGCTTCCAAGATGCATTCTGGACTCTTATCAGGAGCTATCCTTTGGGAAACCACCCCAAAGCCACTCAAACAACTGGTTCATTTAGCACAAGACAATCCACTTTGAGGAACAATGATGCTCCAAGGTCTCTAGCAAAGTATTTCCCTTGTCCTCCCAACCCTGCTAGACGCTTGCGAAACGTGGACTGTCTACAGATATCATACACAACTCCTGGAACAATTCCATCAGCGCTGCCTCTGAAAAATCCTGCAAATCTTTTGGGAAGTCCGACAGTCAAATGTCAGCATGCTGGAAGAAGCTAAGACCACCAGAATTGAAGCGAGGTTCCTCCGCCATCAACTCCGCTGGACTGGCCACATTGTCCAAATGCTCGATCACCGTCTCCCAAAGAAGTTAATATGCTCCTAACTCAAGAACAGAAAACTGAATGTTGGTGGACAGGAAAAGAGATTGAAAGATGGGTTTAAAGCCAACCTCAAAAACTCTGGCATAGACACGGAGAACTGGGAAGCCCTGGCCCTTGAGCTCTCTAACTGGAGGTGAGCTGTGACCAGCAGTGCTGCAGAATTTGAAGAGGCACAAATAGAGGGCAAAAGGGAGAAACATGCCAAGAGGAAGGCATGTCAAGCCAACCTTGACCGGGACTGCCTTCCATCTGGAAACAACAGGAGAAGATACAGATCAAGAATAGGGCTCCACAGCTACCTATGGACCCACCGCCAAGACACCACATCTGGAAGACAATCATCCTCGAGCTACAAGGTATCGCCCAAGTAAAGTAAACTAAGTAATTTCCCGGATCCTAGGAACCACCAGCGCCCCCTACATCTGGAACGAGTTTTGAACCTTTTTTTTTAATCAACCAACTCTAATTGACAATCCAGCTCTGAAGAAAGTCTCCACTCACTTTAGCTGAGCCTTCTCCTCCTATTACAAAGACCACATGGTCACCGTCAAGGCTAATTCTTGGTCTTTGTCCAGATTGTCCCATTTTAGCCTGTGGATGGTGGTTATGTGATGGAATGATCTTCTGAAGATCAAGAAAGCCCTTGCAGGTAGAAAGCCAGTTCTGGGAGAAGGACAGGTGGGCCGCTCATCTCTAGCTTTCCAAGTAGAGCTCTGTCTTAGGAACCCACCTTCATAATCTGAAGCGGACAAGCAGACCATAGATGATACACACACCTCCACAAGAATCTACATAGATAGATAGACATACACACCCACACAGAGTCTAGCTTGGCACATGGAAGACGTCATCTGTTTTCCATATTTTTGTGTGTATAATTTGGGCATTTGTTGTCCCCTCCTGTCTCCCAGTTCCTAACGGCTTCTTTCCGGCAATGTAGACCAGTCATGGGCAAACTTGGTCCCTCCGGGTGTTTTGGACTTCAACTCCCACAATTCCTAACAGCCTACCGGCTGTTAGGAATTGTGGGAGTTGAAGTCCAAAACACCCGGAGGGCCCAAGTTTGCCCGTGCCTGATGTAGACCTTTCCAAAAAGCTGTGGAGTCTCTGGACACTTGGGTACGTTATCATCTGAACAGGGCATCCCACTGTTTACGAAGACTGGACTAAAAGTCACCTTGACTCTGCAGGGCCAGAGGTCAGCTCCCACAAGGCGGCACAGTCCACAACAGCACGGAGGACAAAATCCCCGTATAAATATCAGAAGGCAAAACTCTGCAAGAGTAAAAGGGAAAATCCATCCCGAGAGCGACCTTCAAGTCACCCTGGAGGGCGGCGAAGAGCCCCGCTGACTGGCACTCTGATCTTTCGGAGAGACAGGCGGCTATTAATAGGCCGCCCGCCCGCTGTCTGTCCCCCGTGGGTCCAGTAATCCAATTAAAGTCACGGTGCGGCGGCTCTGCCTGGAGATGCGCCTCTCGGACGGCAGGAGCGACATGTGGAGAGGGCAGCAAATAAGACTGTCTTCCTCTTTTTGTCACTGTGCTCTTCCAGCCCTTCCACCTGAGATCGTTCCTCCCTCAAAGGCTGGAGATTGCATGCATGCGCTCTGTATCCAGTGCATGCTCCACACCTCGTCCAGCCTTGGAAACGTCTTGGTTCAGCCTTTAGAGATATGACACAGAATCATAGAACCATAGAACCTTAGAATCAAAGAGTTGGAAGACACCTCGTGGGCCATCCAGTCCACCCCCATTCTGCCAAGAAGCAGGAATATTGCATTCAAATCACCCCTGAAAGAGGCCATCCAGCCTCTGTTTAAAAGTCTCCAAAGGAGGAGCATCTATCACACTCCAGGGCAGAGAGTTCCACTGCAGAACAGCTCTCCCAGTTAGGAAGTTCTTGCTCATATTCAGGTGGAATCTCCCGTAGTTCCAGCCATCACTGATACTTGAGACAGGGCAGCAGAAAACAAGCTTGCTCCCTCCTCCCTATGACCTCCTCTCACATATTATACATGGCTATCATATCTCCTCTCAGCCTTCTCTTCTTCAGGCTAAACATGCCCAGCTCCTTAAGCCGCTCCTCATAGGGCTTGTTCTCCAGACCCTTGATCATTTTAGTCGCCCTCCTCTGGACACATTCCAGCTTGTCAATATCTCTCTTGAATTGTGGTGACCAGAATTGGACACAATATTCCAGGTGTGGTCTAACCAAAGCAGAATAGAGCATGGGGAGCATGACTTCCCTAGATCTAGACACTAGGCTCCTATTGATGCAGGCCAAAATCCCATTGGCTTTTTTTGCCGCCACATCACATTGTTGGCTCATGTTTAACTTGTTGTCCATGAGGACTCCAAGATCTTTTTCACACGTACTGCTCTCGAGCCAGGCACCCCCCAGGATTACCATGTATGCATTGGACATGCACTCTTTGTCTTTTACATTACTTCCCTAGATCTAGACATTATGCTCCTATTGATGCATATTGATCCCATTTGCATTTTTTGCCGCCACATCACATTGTTGGCTCATGTTTAACTTGTTGTCCATGAGACTCCAAGATCTTTTTCACACATACTGCTCTCAAGCCAGGCATTGTCCCCCATTCTGTATCTTTGCATTTCGTTTTTTCTGCCTAAGTGGAGAATCATAGAATCAAAGAGTTGGAAGATACCTCAAAAGACTCCAGAGTCATTGTTCAACAACCAATGTTGGAGTTCAGCCTGTGATTTTGTTTCAGGATCAGGATGCTTTGGATGTGGGAAGTGATGCTAATGAATTTCAAGATGGCAATGGTTTGGTCAATGATATTGATGCAGAGAAGGACCAGGAGATCCCTGTGAAAAGTGTAGTTTCCCATGAGAATGTCCCTGAAGGGTGTGGGGATGATGGTATACTCCCTGAATTGTTACCAGAGAGTTCCCAGGATTTGGGGCTCGAAAATAACTGGGCACCTGGCCCAGCTGCAAAACTTAATGAGCAAATAGATAGGAGGCAGGAGATTAGTCAAAACAGGCAGACCAAACAGTGGCTTCGGCGGTCTGCCAGAATCCGACAGAAAAAGATAAGGGAATCTCAATTAAAGCGAAACCAATTTCTGAGTGCTTGGGATAGCTTAACGAGGGGATAAAAGTTCCAAGTATGGGAAATATAGTCAGATGAAGCATTGTTTAAAATCAAGTGTAGTTCGTGTCCTTGTTTCATGGAAGCCTTGCTGGGAAGATTCTTGTCTAAGTATTTCTTGGGTTGTTGTAGGTTTTTTTGGACTATATGGCCATGGTCTAGAAGCATTCTCTCCTGACATTTCGCCTGCATCTATGGCAAGCATCCTCAGAGGTAGTGAGAGGATGCTTGCCATAGATGCAGGTGAAACGTCAGGAGAGAATGCCTCTAGATCATGGCCATATAGCCCGAAAAAACCTACAACAACCCAGTGATTCCGGCCATGAAAGCCTTTGACAATACATTAAGCATTTCTTGTTTCATGGTTTGGATTCTTGGATTGTATGAAAGCCTACTCATGCCTCGGATTAATGTTTCCTGGTTTTCTGAATTATATTAGAGAAGTGTGGCCTTTGCTTTTATGGACTTTGCTGAACTTTATCCTGGACTACTTTTGCTCTTGTTTATCTTCTT